AAACTTGCCGCCTCCTGGTTTCTCAGCCAGCACCTTCACCAGTACACCAAACTGGCTCTCTTGGTGAATCATGTTCTCTTGGTGGCACTTGGAGACACCTCCAATTAAAAGAGCCTCAAGTGCCAGCTGATGGGAAAGACTTGTTGAGCAGTTCAGGGAGAAGAGATGTCTCGTGCCTACTGGAGGATTCACACGCCAGTCTTAGTCTTCATTTCATCCCCCAACAACAAAAATAGCGTTGTTGAAAATGATCGTTTTGCCCATTTTGGCAGCCCAGTTTTAAAGTGTAGAAGTGGGAGGGGGGTCCACCGGCAGATAGCCCACTCCTACACAGAATCATTAACCACGTTTTACGGAGCACAGTTCTGGATTTGCACATGCTAAAATATCCTCAGCATCTTGGGAGAAACAGGCCAGTGGGTGGGCCTGTTAACTGCTATCATTTGCTTTCCTGCTGTTTTTTTATTGGCCAGAGTTTTACCAGTTTGTTCGGCCTCAGCACAAAAAGCAGTTTGATGAAGCTTGCCGTTCCCTGACAGGAGTCGCTTGCGGCTACAAACCTGAGCACAGCCTTCTACCAGAAGAGAGATGGTCATTGGCTAAAAGTGCAGGTGAGACCGTCTTTAAGCAGCTGGCAGCCCTGCAGGTGTGTGCTCTCTCCAGAGCAGAACTTCCTCCTCCAGCCTGTTCTGTCTTCTGTCTTTGCAGAGGCTTTCATTTCACACTCTTGCAGATAAACAGCAGAGCAAAAGAAAGCTAACCCACATTAACAAGGAAAAGGGCAGCAAGGCCTCTTTGCCCCCTTCCTTGATCAGTAACTGTAGCTATCTGGGTTAAAGGGTCCTGGATCTTCCCTCCCCACCTGCTGTCAGCTGCTATCCATAAGTGTTTTTTACTTGCTGAAAATATTTAGCTATTGCTTCTCATGCCAAACACCTCCAGGGGCATTCAGCCTTGTTGTAACTAGCTAATAACATTATTTCTTGGAAGGGTTTCATCATACCTTGTATTCTGGTACATTCGTTAAGGTTTGCCCTCCTTCAGCCAGCATCTGTGTCTGGTTCCCTTTGATCTTAGGACAGGAATACAAGAAGAAAATCACCTTTTTGGAAGATTCCTCCACGCAGCATTTAAACAAAGGTGGATCCCACCTGACTACTAGGTTAAATGTGAAAGATATGCTTTAAATAAAATACATAAGGCCTGATGATAGCTGTGGGGGAGTTTTCATTTCCAGTTCATAATTAAAACTGAACTCAGGTTGCTACTTGTTGACATTTATTGGGATGAAGCTAAATCAATAAGTTTTTGAATTGGGAGAAAGGGGGAATCTGTTAAATGCTTTTTCCAAGACTCATGCACCAGGGAGCATCTGTAACCATTCTCCTGCAAGTTATTGTTAGTCATCCAATTTGGAGCTCAAAGAATAACAGAATTGCGGGTCCATATGTTTCTCCTTTTTAGGAGGAAAGGAAATGTTTTTGTTACTTTGAATTTAGATTAACAAAAGTGACACATGTAGCTTGGAGTAATCAACATTGTCATCAGTTCTGGTTCATTAGTGTAGAGGATGACTCTGTTTCTCAGAAAGCACTGCACATGCTTTAACAATGCAGAAATGTATCACATTTATTTATGTATTATGTATTAAACTAATTTAATTTAACAATTGCACTCATTTCACATGCTAGCAAGGTTATGCTCAAAATCCTACAAGCTAGGCTT